AAAGTAACACACTAAAAAAAAAAAAAAAATCTTTTTTATAAAAAAAAAAAAACAAAAGGAACTATTTATTATTGGAGAGCTAATGTCTCCTTAATATTTATTTAAAAATTATAATTTAGGTATATATAAATTTTTGTATATATAAAAACTTGTTACTTTTTTTTTATTTAAAACAATATTTTTTATAATAAAACATAATTAACTATTACTGTAAATATATTTTAGTAATAAACTTTTAAATGGTAATTCTGGCCAAATAATAGGCAAATTTACTCAAAAATTTTGGGGTAACATTCGAAACGGTAACAATAACATTCACAGACGAGTTTAGAAAGTTCCGAATTAGCGATGACTAGTAGTGATGTACGAGACATATTTGAGCTTACGCCGGTAAAGGCTTTAAGTGATGGTAATTCCGTTCCGATTAAGAAGACGAGCAAGCCCGAGAGGGAAAAGAAACCTGGTTGGTATAATTTAATTTTGATGTAGCTTCAAAGATGTTTTAGGAGATTTTTATAGATTATAATAAAACACGTAAATTATAGTTCTATAAGGTATTATTATATGAAGAAATATGAAGTTTGAAATTATCTACAACCGGCCTTTGCAAAGTTTTTTCGTAGATTTCTATTATTTCGCATGTTTAATTATTTATCTTTATTTAATAAAGAGGGTATACCTCGAGAGCTCTTCCAATTAATTGGCGGTCCGCCTCCCATAGCCTTTGTTAAGCCAGCTTTTAAAGCCAAACCAAATTTGCGTAAAAAAGCAGTTCATTGGTATTATAAGATCTTAAGTTCATGTATGATTATTCATCAGTAAAAAATATTAAAGTATTGGTTTTCCTTTTTTTTAGGGAATTTAGACCTTTTATCAATCAAGCACGTAAAGATCAACTACAACTATCGCATTGGATTAAAGCTACGTCTTCCGAGGACAATTCAGGTATGGTATTATAACATAAATATAATATTGACATAAATCTTTAATGCCTGCATTTTTTTTAGGTCATTGGTTTGCGGAGTATAATAAAGAAATTGAGATCTTGGAATATAATGATGAGGAATATCAAAAGTTTTTGACAGGTTGAATAACATTTACTTTTTGATTAGTTAATAATACATGAATTTAATTTAATTTCTTTTTTTTTTGAAATCTTTCAGACAAGGAATGGACTAAAGAAGAAACGGATTATCTATTTGGCTTATGTCGCAAATACGATCTTAGATTTATTGTTATTCATGATCGCTACGAGTATTCCGAACGATCCATGGAAGTATGTACCTATGCCTCGCTTTCAATAATGTGATTTTGTATAGATGGATTAATTATATATAATCATTATAAGGACCTAAAAGATCGTTATTATTCTGTGTGCAAAAAACTTCTACAAGTTCGACCACCTGGAAGTAATCAAACTGACAAAGGCGCATTAATCGCCTTGAATAGTTATGACAAGGGTATGAAATTCTATTAGGAAATGACGCCTTTCAGAACTTATTTTATTCAACTAATATGCTAATCGAGTTTGAATGTAGTTAAAGAAGAACGAAGGAAAAAACATATGTGCATGTTGTATAAACGAAATGCCGAGCAAATTCAAGCAAGTATTAATGGACATTCTCCATTATCATCGTTGTGATTTAATCTAACCTCTCTTATTTAAAGGAGGAAGAATCGTTATTGGAAGAATATGAGCGTATCGAACAAAATGAAAAGAAGTTTGCCAAAGAACGAGAAAATTTGATGAAATTATTTAACTTTCAAGAAGTCGTTCAGGTAGTTATGATTTTCATATATATAAAATAAGATATTTACTGTAAAAGAACTTATTGATAAAAGATATTTACCTTTTACTTAGCCAAAACGGAAGAAATCGCTTATTAGTGGTCCAACTACTCCAACAATGGAAGTTGGTAATTCAGTTTTCCATAGTCCTATTGAATCGCCAATAAAAAAGAACCGTCGTACGTCCTCGTCTTCTGCTGGTACATCCGCCGTAGAAGGTGAAATCGACTTCTATATAATATAGTTTTATTTTAATAATTTAAAATTATTTTACTAAATTATGTAACTTTTTAATATTATAATTTCTATAATTGTAATATAATTTGTGTGTTAACAGTTCATTCCCCTATTGAAGCTCATGCCACACCTACCACAGCTCGACGAGAGAAATTCCCACAAGGAGTAGTCGTTAGGAGTCAAAGGATACCTTCTCCTAAACAAGCAATGGCTGCTAAAGTACAGAAGACCTTACAAGAATTTGGACTAGGTATAGTAAAAATATTAAAACAACCATTCCACTCAACTTCACTGATTATAATTATTATTTAATAATTAGGACCCCGTCCAACAATACCAACCGAAAATGTATGCGCCAGATGGACTGAATTACAGAAGGCCATACAAACACTGTTGGAAATAAAAAAGGGTGTGGATAAGCAAGAACACGAGTTAAAAGCGAAGATAAATTTATATAAAAAGATAACTTCAGGTACTGAAGGAAATGGATCAAAAGCACCTATAATAGGAGGAAATGGTGGCGGTGCATCTAAAAAACCAGATTCAGAAAAGACGAATGCCGAAACTTCTACTCCTGTAAGTTTTGACATAACATTTGGAAATTATGTAATTCGTGTTTTAACATTATTTTACATATAGAAACGAGATAGAATAACGTTGACGGCTTCACCTCGAGACGTAAAGCGTGCCCGGAAATAAACAGACGACGAGCTTGGTGATGTACTTATATCAAATATTCTTGGATAGTCAATATACAAATTGTTTTCATAACATATTTTACGGATACTGTTGAGCAATAAAATGAAAAATAGTTTTTTGATCAACTCGATTTTTCATTCAAAATAAGTTTGCATTATTTTATCTTTTTTGTATATATTTGTAAGAATTTTCTATCAATAAAATTTTTGTAAAATCAATATAATTTGATTATTTGTTCTTATTGATATTTCTTATTAAATATTTATTATAGTTAATGAGTTTATTGAATATTTCAAAACTATTAAACAACTTATCAAGATAATATCAGTAAGTTAAAGAAATAATAATTTATTTAATAAAAAAAAAAACTCTTCCATTTACCACATATTCCTTAAAATTTTTATTTTTAGGAAGTTTTTTTTCTTTTGAAAGAAAACTTTCACTAAAGATATTTACAAATACATTGGTTAGCAAAGTCATACTGTACTCTCTCTAGATATATAGCTCTTGCTAGTAAAAAAGCTATAAAATTGAAAACAGCCTCTTGGATAGCAAGCTGAAAATATTATTGAAGTTGGGTTTGGTTTTTTAATAACAAAAAGTCAAGTGGTGTTTCTTATATAGCTAGAAGATACAGGTTAATACAATACAACAACAAATATTAATATAGCAAAACATATAATTTTAAATAAGAATAAATATCAATACTTTTCACTTTTTTACACAAACTTTACTTGTGATACAGTATTCAATTATCACTACTTTATGTTCAAAACTTTTTTCTTATCAATTATTAGTTTCAAACTATTTTAAAATTAAAATATATACTTTAAAATCATTCTAATAATAAGATTAATTGCTACCTTTCAGCCTATAGTTTTAATGATAAATTTAAAAATAGAAGTTAATACTAGATACAAATAGTAAAAGATTAATATTATTTCAAAATTGTTTTGATAATAAAGTTAATTGCTGCTCTCTAATTCTTAGTCTTAATAATAAATTCAAATAAAAAATCAATATTAGGTACAAATAATAAAAGACCGGTTTTATTTGGATATAATTTAAGTTTAATAGAGTTTAAAACCAATATTTATTTTATTTGCTGTATATCAAATTACGTTTGGAAAGCAAGCATACTAATTCTAATTATAACTTGGAGATCAATCTATATATAATAATTGCAATACCTTTAATTAACTAATTAAAATTTTTTAAATAATTAGATATTATTTAAGACATAATATAAATTTTGAACTTTTTTTTTCTATATTTTTAATTGATACCAAGTATATATGTGATTAAATAAAATAACCTGTAGGTTTATAGTGTAGTGGTTAACACTTTACAGATTAGATTACAAGATACTAATTTCATTTCAGATAAAGATAATTAAATAGAATCTATATAGTATTTGACACCATAACCTGTTATGTGCTGTTTCTTATGCAAAGTTATTTCATATACTAATCCAGTGAGCATTGAAATTGTAATCTTTAGAAAAGATATTGTGGCATAATGATCATCCAGGTGATTATACAATGATCATTGGAAGTTGTAAGATATATAAGGTATCTACTTTTAATAAAATAGCTTGATGATTATTTTTTTATAGTATCTTATTAGAAAATTTCCAGAAAAATCTTCAAAAATCTTCAAAAATTTTAAAAAAATTTTAATATAAAAGTTTTTAAAATAATAAACTCCAGAAATTTTTATTTCAAAAAAATTTAAAAATCTTCAAAGTAATAATAATTATATTAAAATAAATAATTATTTAATAAATATTCATTACTTTTATCAAATCTTGAAATTATATAAACTAAATTATCTATTGCTCTTATATCTACTAGATTATATATATCCGTTAATTTAAGATATGCACAATCATATATGTATAGTTTTTTCAATTTAAAATTATACCATTATACTAATACTAATTAAAGTTAAGGTCTCTGAATTATTCTGTTTATCTTTATTATTAATAAAACCTAAAAAAATTATTATTATTATTATTATTTTCCCCTCAATCAGGTTGGTGTCATTTATTTATTAAATCAAAATGAATCATTACAAATATAAGTTGCATGTATAAATTTTTTTTACCCAGCTCACCTGTCTGTAACAAAGAGTCTCTAGATGTGATTTATGGAGATGATATATTGCTTGTCTATTAATTGGAATTAAGATTCCATTTGTTTAATAGAGTCAAAGCCTGCAAATCATCTTTACAGATCATATGCCATAAATCCAAATTGAGTTTTTATTTAAGCACTAATTATTTTTTCCTACTTTCTATGAACTTCTGTATTAGTTTTCTAACCTTGTCTAGTTTATTTATATAACATTTTGTCTTGTACTTTGTCTTTTCTCTCCTTTTCTTTTTTTTGTTGTTCTGATTATTTGGAGACTGGGTATTGGTGGCACTATTGATTTCTGTGGATCTGGAAATATGATTTTCCAAGCTGAAGTCCATATCTGAACTAAGTTCCATCGATGACAAAAGTGCAAGACCTTTTTTGATCTTTAGATTCAGGCCCATGGTCCAATCGTTTACTATTGTAATGCTATAACTGTGTTTTTATATCGATTTTCTGAATTGCTTAAGAAAGCTGGTGGCGGTCTTGCACAACAGTTGCCAGATTTTGAATTGAGTGATTTTGGTACTTGTTTATTTGCAAAGTTTTGTGGTGTGGTTTTCTAATATTAGTTCGATTGCAAAGTTTAGCCTTTCATTTTTTTCTGAAACATCTTTTGTGTTAGATATGTTGTGACTGCATCTATATTAGTTGTTTCTAGTATATGTGTTGAGTTTTTGCAGGCTTTTCAAAGGTTTCTTGTAAGCCTTTGCATGGCTTTTAACCATGCTTTGCTGATATGTTCTTCAAGTCCTGGGCATATAAATAGGTATTTTCTTGTTTCAGGCTTCATGCTATAGACTCTGTAACTGTTGTATATACTGTAAAGCCAGGGTTTTCTTATTTCAAGTTTGTCTAATGTTGATAGTTCATTGTGCAGCAATTTGATTCAAAAGCTTTTCTTCTTGCATTCTTTAAAGGATGTGGTCAATCCATTAAGTTTAATATTGCTCCAGAATTGTCTCTAGATATAGTTTCTTTGTTAATCAATTTGTTGTTCTAATAGTTGTCATATTTTTCTGGTTTTTACCTAGACTTTCACATTTGCTGTCTTGTTAACTTCCTTAATAAAGTTTCTTGAAGCTGTATCTACTATTTTATTGTACCAAATAGTGATGGTTTGAATATGTTTGCCACTCAATAAATGCTATGCAATTGCCAATAGTTGAGTTGCTTGTTTAACAAGCTGATCTGCTTGCTTATTATACTTGTTGCTGGAATGTGCTTTGATCTTATTGATCTTAAGCTTGAGATCTTTTTTTCTTGTGATTTCTATAATGTCTTGTCAGATTAACCAGTTATTGATTTTCAGTCATCTTTTGTAAGTCAGCTTGGGGTTGGCCTTGAAGATCATAGTGAAGATGTTGATACAGTTTTGACTGTCAATGTGAATAATGACTTCCTTTTCTCTTGGTATTGTAAGAATCACTGTCAAGATAGTGGTGGCCTCTGCTCTATATGATGATAGCCAGTCTTGAACTCCACATTGGAATCTGCTATTAGAAGTGAACTCTTGGGTTTGGATCCACGCAACATCCATTCTGGTCTCTTCTTTGCTTGTTTCTCTGTTTAGCAGAAACCTATCTATGTAAAATTCATATTGACAAATTATTTGTGTAATGTTTGAGTGCATTGAATACTTGTTATTAAGCAGGACTTCTGTAAGGTCTTCTTTGTAATTTTCTGACTTGACTGTTTTTTGATTAGGTTTATATTCCAATCCAGTATTGTAACCTCTTGGAATTTAGTTCTCTCCATATAATGTGATGACATTTTGAATACTATTATCACTTGTTTTTCTAGTATGTAGGGGTTGCATGGAATTCTTATTTCTGAGATTCTGTTGTTGCCATGTGTTCTGTTTAGAAGATCGCAACCCAAGACCCTCCTTTCTTCCACTTGGACTTTGTTTGAGCTTTCTGATACTGAATCTATTCGGAAGTCATTTGGATCACTGGTAGATTTATAGCTAGCCTTAAGAAGGGTTTGTTCTGGCCCAAATGCCATACAGTTGTAGTGAAAGAGTATAAAGGTTTTGTCTGCTGAATTATTATTTGTTTGTATTTTTTCCTATTGTATTTTATCTTGTTCATCTTTGAATGCATATTACTCCTTGATCCTTTTGTCTGAAAAGACCTTGCTGAACCAGCTTGTACTGCTTTTTTTCCATGGCCTGGTTATCCAGTTATCATTTAGTTTGAAGCATTTGCTATTTGTGATCCTTTCTCTAAGTTTATTATGTTATTGTAGAGTGCATCCTTTGTTTGAGCCTGGTAGTATTAGCTTGATAAGGTTTCAGTCTAGTAGGATTTCAAGCTCAGTGTCAATTAGCTGGTCTATATACATGAGCTGTCTCTTTTTGAGTGATTATATGGATTTTTTGTACAGGTGATCATCATTTAGTCCATTCTTGATAGTAGAGAAGCCTCTTGCCTATTGAAAGTTGTCTTTTAGGAGCTTGTTTTGAAATCTAAATCCCATTTTGTTGGCTAGCTTTAAGATTGTGGCTGCAAAGTTGCCTTTATTGTCAAAGGAGTCTAGAATGTCCTCTAAGAGGATATTGGTTGGTTCCCAGTTTTTGAGCTAGGCCTGTTTAAGTCTTATTATTGTTGATTTGTTAGCAGCTCCCCTGTCATTGAGACTGTTAATAAGCCCTATAATTTGCGACTTTGTTTGAAGATTTCATATGTATTATACATGTTGCTGAAATTCATAAATCCTTGACACAATTGACGCAATTATTTGATGCAATTAATTGAGTCACTATTAAAACATATAAATAA